ATCACTGTTTCGTACAATGCAAAGCTCGAATGCAAGGCACGGAATAGGTCTCATGTAATTTTAACAAGTGGAATTTGCAGCATAGTGAGAAAGGTGGTTCACCAAATATTCACAAACACATTAGCATCTCCAGGAGAACCAATTTAATTATCGCATTTGGACCGAGCTTTACCTAGCAAAGTGTGTTTAGTATCGTGACGGTCTCCTAAAATACGATCAGACAACCGAAACGCAAAGAAGTCGAGGGGATCGTTAGAACGAGATATTTATCCACCTGAGGTTTCAGATTCACGTTCGAATCCCATCATCTGAAACAGTGTCATATACGAGCAGTCTGGGCAAAAGAGGTGTCAAAACCCATGGGTTTCAGTCGCCAAGCTACCCCACATCTACGAAGATTAAAGATCGCCCCAGTCCCTCCACCGTGAATGGTTGAACTTAGTGGCATGAAAGTCTGACAGCCGCTGCAATTTTATCACCATCCATCGACCTTGGTGGCAGTGCTGTCTGACAACAGGCGTCCGAGTATTTGAATGCTGCAATTTCATCACCCGCATTGAATGTGGACGTGGTGATTACTCGACCCTCTGCATCACCGGCAGTGGGGTTGAAAACATTTGCGTATCCCACGCGTGACTGATAGCACTGCTGATGTTAAGTCCCAGCGTCGAATATGGTGGACGTATGACACGGAACTTTTCAAAAAGATATGAGCCATTTGACTGTGACTCAAACAAATCACGGCTTGAACATGAATGTGTTACTGGATTCCCCTCAAATAACCCGCGACATGGGAGCTCATTTCATTGATCTGCACAATTGCCACGCGTTCAGTCATTAGTGTCCGGGATGGTATTACAGTGTCTCACACGTCATCAGCAAGAAACCGATACTTCAGGAAAATAAATCTCTTGTTCCAGACATCTCGTCTATTTATTCTGGACTGTCTCCTGGGAAACGCATTTTGGTTTGTACCGGCAAACACATTAAATTATATAGTTATATTCAAAGGACATCAAAAAATTCAAACTCCTAATCTTCTCCCAAACGATCTGTCCTTGTATTGAGCATTCTGGCGTTATTCCCTCAAGGTTGGACTTCAAATAAACAGAGACTGTTACTGTAATCAAGTAATAGTCTTTGTTTCCCGACCCGTTCGACGGAGAAAATTAGAAGCAGTTGTTCAAAAGCCAAAAAATCTAGTGCGTAGTAAACTCGTTAGGCTTTAGCAACCTAGAAAAATATCGTCGTTTTGGTAAAGCTTTTTTGATATAAATATTGCCTCTCCTAGTCTATGGCACGTTTTTTATAGTCCACGATAAGACACAGGAACAATTGCATGGGGGACTCTGACATTTGTCGGGGTAGATGCATGCATCTGACCGGCAACGTAGCGTCGAATACGGAGGAGGTTTTTCATGATAGAAAAGCATGGAAGTAGGGTCTGCCTTTAGGAGCCATTTAAGCAATTACTCGACGGGCAGGAATGACAACTGTCTTTGCATTCGATCGTAATACTGGCAACTGTATGCAAATATAAATATACAAAGATAATTGGGAATGGTGCGGACATTCAAGACGTGGTTTGTCGTCACAAATGGGACGTCATACGCATCTCCGCTAATAATGAGCTAAGCTGAATTATATGTCCGAATATTGGTAAATCACAAATGTCTCTTGACTCTGTTTTAAATATTACCACCGACCTCTCCAGGCGATTTTGATCTTGATGCTTCGTCTGCATTACAACCGATATCTGGGACCGTTCTGTCACCGGCAAACTCACCTCCTTTAGACGGGATCACGTGCATCCGGTCTCTCGACGCTCATGAGTTTAGTACGGGTAATTGTCAGGTTGATAAGCAAATTATTGTGATATAAACAAACAGATATTTCCTACAGAAGCACACGACGGTCCGAATGTCGTTGCCGACCGTGTGCAGGGTGAAAGTATGGAAGGTGAATTGAGCGCACTTTCCTCCTCCTCTCCCACCTGGATCCTGCGTCAAAACAGAATAAAGAAGACCGGAGGCGGGAGAGGGCGCAGGTGGCTGGTCCGACGAAAACCCGCACCTAGGCGTACCACCACACATGGCTCACAACTTACTCTCGCCACGATTTTACACAACAGGAGAAGATGAGGGTGGTAAGAATCACAATTGGCGCGGTGTGAACCGGCAACTGGATCTGCTACCAGCTCCATTTGTAATGGATACGCTGACGTTTAGGTGTAGGCCCCCGCATGTGGCACACTGGACTTTAAAAGCGATCCGTTCGACCAAACCCTCGGCCGATGTTTTATCGAAACAAATTTGCGTCACCAACGTACTTTACTTTATTTCATATTTTTATGTCATTCTAGAACATCGTTTTCCACTCTCCGACATTTCAAGTCACGTAGTCCGCTTGTTGGTGCTACATATGTTTATCAAGCTGATGTTTAAATGTCTCCAAAGATTGAGACATCGTATTGCTTCGGGCAGATTATTCCGTGATTCCAGGACACGATTTAAGAAAGAAATAATTCCTCACAGCCAATCCTCCTTGTGGCACACGTAGTTTGAGGGATGTCCCCGAGGTTATTAGTAGAAGCAGATTGAAAAAAAAAACGTTGTCAAACCGGAAGACGCAATCCAAGCCACGCATGATACAGAAAGTTTGCGTCAAGTCTTCACGTAACTGTCTATAACTCAGAAGAGAGTGAATAAGGTTATTTAGGCGGATCTCGTATAGCAGGGCACCTTGAACTCTAACAATTTTTTTGGCTTGCCGCTACACTCGTTCGAGCGAATCGGAATCCTGTTGCATCCAGTGTCCCCAGTCCTTCGTCAAATGACTTTTGAAATATCATAGACAGTGGTTCGCACAGTTTATTAGCGAATTCTTAATGTGCAAGCGCTGGAATCATATCCGAGCCAGGCAGTTTGGAAGACTTCAATCAGAATAAGTCGGCCCTAACTATGGCCGATAAAATGTGTGATTCTTCGATAACGGAGGGTATAGACGAGAAAGAGTGAGGTAGGGGAGAAGATGTGAGAAGAAAAAAGATGAAGAAGATGCTGGTTTGCGTACTGGTGGAGGGGTGAACAGAAATTAGGTCCTCGGGTGAAGGCGGACGAAATTAGACCGTTCACCTAATGGGGAAACTTTTTGAAGCATTTTTTCCCCGGTATGAATTGAAAACAAGCATGTAAAGCAGAATTTATTGGGGCCAACAAATTTCGTGACGGCTTTTCAACTGCAAC